ATCCTTTTAATTTAGATGATGGTTTTAGCCACATCCTTCAGTTTACTTTAATCTTCTTTTTGAATTTATGTTTTTTTTCCCTATAAAAATGGTAACTTACTGAAAAATCTGTGTATTTCAGAATTTCCTGGCATGCCTACATTTTCCTAGTTGATTTAAAACGATCTCTTACTGGTGAGCTGAAATTTGCAGATATTAAAAATAGTTTCCAAAACAGAAAGTTTAGGGTATCTCAGATCAAAGACTGGATTGAGCAACATTACATATTTATTTTACATCCTTAGAAACAATGTGTAATTTCTCAAACATTCTGTTTAGTTCCCCCTCCCTAAGAAAGGTATTTTGTCTATTGATTGCTTTATATTCTGAAGCCTTGCTATGTAAATACCCTTTTGGTGATTGAATGTATTTGTGTGTGTGTATTTGGGGGTAGCACTGGTGAATGTGTACTGGGGGAGGAGAGACAAATCAGACTACAATAGTGCCAGGTTAGCAGAGCTTCCTTCCAAAATGTCTCATTACAGCACTGAGCCTGTAACCACGATCTTACTAGTGGTGCCTTACAGTCCAATTTAATTTAAGGTACGGCCATGGCACACTGCTCTTTTGACAAGCAGGGTAAACTCATTCCGTCCATCATGACACTTAAAAAAAAAAAACCTTCACATATATCATTCAAGAATTAAATTCAAGGCACGTACCATCTTCTTTTTAGAAGGCCACATTATAGATCACAGTTCCTTTCCGAAATTTGCCTGATTTTTCAGAATCGTCGACTTAGGTCCTTGTTGCCAGTATTCCCCATTTTTTGTGAGTAATGTTCCAAGCCACACAAGTCTAATTTAAACAGACTATGGATCTTCTTGTGGCGGACAAATTACAGCTGAGAAAAAAATTGCTGTGCTGGTTCAAACAAGGAGTTCAGGGGCAACCTGCTTTTCATGGTCACTGCTCCTCATTTGTCATTCTGAAAAGTTTAATACTAATAGGCAAATCCCTTGTGTTTTATCGAGCTTTCACTGTTCACCAAGAGGCAACACTGTTTTTGAGCACTGTTTCAAATATTCAAAAAGTAATCTTAAAAGCCCCCCAACTTAATGCATGATAAATGCTGGTGCTGAACTATACCTGCTGTTTTCTAATTTAATGATGCATTTTTACAAGGTCCTGAAGGCCATTTCAATGAGTTTTGTTTAATTTTAACCTAATGCTGATTTTGCACATTATTTAAATATGAAAAACTATAATATACCAGTAAAATTGAATTATGTGCAAATGCAACCTTTTTTAGCCCATTTGATATAATACAACCAAATCTGATCACTCTATTAATAGCAAAAGACCTTGGCCTTGCAAAGGCAGAATTGCAATATTTGTTTTGAGACAATTCATTATGTCTACATAATTAAGCTGTGAATCTCTAAATGTTTAAGGTGAGGAATTAAATGGTTGTTTCCCCTCATTTATCCTTTTTAGTATAGTTCTTTTGTTTTCTTTTCTTCGTGTTTTTCTAATTGTAAAGTCAGAGCATAGTCTAGTCATTAGATAAATGTTGGTAGATGGTGAAACAAAGTAGGTACATGTCAGGATTTTTCTTTCTAAGTTTGTGAGTGAATTTAGTGTTCAGTAAAGTGCAGGTTTCAGAGCACTGCCTTGAAGGCACAGTGTAAGTAAGAGCTGTGAAATCTTCCTCCATGTCATTCTGACTGTGCACTTTGGGCCTAACCTCCAATGCTCTCTGCTATTTAACAGACACTGCCAGCTCTATGGAATTGTACAGTGATTTTCTTAAGCGCACAAATGGGGGTCAAGGATGAAAAATGCATTTTTTTCTCTTGTGATCTAACCCACTGTGCCACATACAAGAGCCCTTGCATTGTTTTCTATTATCGTCCTCCAGTATATTTACAAAAGTGCTCAAAATGTGCAAGGTGCTGCACTGCTACAGAGTAGAATGCAGCCCCTGCTGAGAAGAGCTTACCATCAAAAAGAGAAAGGCTGCGGGAAAGAGATTCAATATGCGAAGTGAAGAGAGCGATGACATGGCACAGGCTTTGTTAGCTGCGTTTTTTAAAAAATTAATATGTTCGCTTAATTTCTGCTATAATCATTTAGTTTTAGCTGTTTTTTCAATGGGGCAGTCAGGGTTGAAGAGAGGGAGAGGAATGGTGAGAAGAGATTGTAGGACTGAGAAGAGGAGGAGTGGGAGAGTATGGGGAGAGAAGCACAATGGGATGTGAATGAGGGATTTGGCAGATGAAGGGTTGCAGAGATAAGGGCAATGGGGGAAGAAGATGGACCAACAACCAATGACAATTCAACTAATGAGAAAATAATATATCGAAGTCCAGATCGCAGAGCTGAGTGAACACAATGATGTCAAGTGGCTCTGAGCCCCGTGGAGGGAAACAAATGGATGGACAGCAAAGAGGAGGCATGCAAGCCAGAGGCTTATCTTCTGCAGGACCAGCTAAAGCTGAACCTGGATGCTTTCCAAAGTCTGACCCCTGCAAGTGCTTCTTGGCTGTTTCTGCTCCTCATTTGAAGGCCACTAGGACCAGTGTCCCAGGAGGGTCTGGTTGCGATTAAGGGGCACTGGGCCTGAAGGACCCTGATTTGCACCCTGTTTCCTCAGCTGTAGCTGGTGGGGGAGCCCTGAAAGTCGAGAAATTTTCGTAAGCATGTCCCCTCCAAACTCCTTGAGGCTGCTACTGCTCAAGTGGAATTTCTGGGCCTGGTTGCTGTGCGTCTGGTAGGCAGGGTGGAAGCAAGGCTGGAAGTCCCTGACTTGACAGCTGGTGCTGTCTGCTTTGGGATCATTAGCTCCAGGTTCTAGCCACTGTTAACTCTGTTAACACTCTGTTAACAACCTACTTTTATTTATGTTTCACTGCACTTTTGAAATTGAGGTAAAAAAGCCCCAGTTGGGGAAGAGTTGGGAGAATGAAGGTACATGCTCACCAGTAGTATTTTAAGGGGCAATGGGCAGGGTTTAGCAAAAAATACTTCACCTCTTCACACACAAAGTCCAAGTAATCCACCTTTCTGCAGGGAACTTTACAGGGTTGGTGGGGGAGGTGGTATGAAACGGGCTGTGGTTAGCACTGTAGGTCCACTACAGCTACTATTCCAAGACTATAGTCTGAAATATCTGCCAGTTTATCTGTGCACCCATAGGCAGAGATTTGGAGGAACTAGATCCATGTAATCATGGATCCAGTAGTCCATCCATTAAGCAGCCACCAATGGCCTCTCTATGCCACCTACTTCAGGGCTAGTGTGGACCCTCCTAAATGCTCTGTCTTCACTTCTCAGAGATATGGTATCTTAGGTGTCAAGTATCAGGGGGGTAGCCATGTTAGTCTGAATCTGTAAAAAGCAACAGAGGGTCCTGTGGCTTTAAGACTAACAGAAGTATTGGGAGCATAAGCTTTCGTGGGTAAGAACCTCACTTCTTCTTGCATCTGAAGAAGTGAGGTTCTTACCCACAAAAGCTTATGCTCCCAATACTTCTGTTAGTCTTAAAGGTGCCACAGGACCCTCGGTATCTTAGGTATTAAGTGGTGCAGAAGTCCACCATTTATGGATGATATAAATTAGCAAGCAGGTTTACATCTACTATGGGGAAAATGCAATTTTCTGTCCATAAAGCATTGAGGTTCAGAGATGAGAGTTGTGTGGGACCTTGATCAGTATGTTTGAAGCCATCATTTGCTGCATTCCCAGAGCAGAAATGACATACACTCCAGAAGCCTTGGATATAAGTCACCACTCAGTTTCTTCCTTAAATCTAATTCTAGGTTCTTTTAATAAAATTTATACTTACAGAAACAGATTTTTTTTATGTTTACACATAAGAAAAGATTCTCTATAAAACAGGCATTAAAAATGTATTGCACCTGTCACTGTTTGCCATAGAAAGTATTTTCCCTTTTAATACTTGGAATTGAATACCTCACTAAGAAAGAGAGAGAGAGAGAATATTGGTTTGTGTATGTGTGGGTGGGGAGGGGTAGGAATGAACAGAAAACAAGAATGTGTATGCGGGAGGGAGAGAAAGCGAGAAAATGTGGTAGAATACATTATTTCAGAGGTATTGTATGTTCAAGGTGGTAGAGACTGCCTTAGTGAGGCGCATACTCTGCTACTAATCTCTTTGTGGAGCTCTTGATTAAGTCAAATGAAGTTTGCACAGAAATTGGTGGTAAGAAAGACCTAGTCCTAACAGAGCTATGTCTGACTATATGATGGTATTTTGGGGAGCCCACAAAACAGTTGGTAACCACAGCAGACTTCCACTTGAATTTTTTTTTAAATATCATTTAATAGGCCTATGCTGCACTAAATGCAATGCAACCTCTTGTAAACTGACTCAGCGTGGAGCAGCAGCCACAAATGTTATGTCTACACTGCAACTAGGCGCATGGGTAGACAGACTTGTCTCTGCTCAAGCTAGCATGCTAAAAATAGCAGTGTGGATGTCGCCGCAGGGAGGGCAACTTGGGCTCGATGTCCAAATCTAAGCCCGCCTGACGCTCTGGGTCTGAGCTTGGGTGACTAGCCCGAGCCATTGCTTGTGCCGCAATGTCCACACTGCTATTTTTAGAGCATTGGCTCGAGCAGTGCTGGCATGCGTCTGTCTGCCTGGGCTGGGAGACACTCCCAGGTGCAGCGTAGGGATTTCCAAAGAGAAATAATGGGTTTTACTGCTATCCTAAAACCGAAGTTTGCCATATATCTTAGGGCTCCAGAATGTCTCTAATGTTAAGTTCTGGAAGTCTGTTGTAAGCTACAGCTGACTACAAGATCACCACACTTATACAACCTCAATTAAAAAGGTGCTTGGTTTGCTTTACTCCCCCAACAACTCATGCCATATTTTCAGGTGTCTTTTTGGTTTCTGTAAATACTAATGAGGAATGCAGAAAACGACTATAAATAAGACAGATATATTCCTGGATTAAGTAAGAGGTAATATCATAAAAAGCAAGATAACTCACACTAGAGATCTCTTTGCTCTTGCCTTCTTTACTGGAAGCTCCACTCAGCTGCTCAATAAAACTGTAATGTGTTAATTGTTCAGGCCCATCCTCTCCATAATGGCCATAGAGACTGTGTTGATATAAATCCAAGATTGACATAGGGCTCCCCACAAAGGACTTTCTCACAGTATTTTCTTCTTGCTCAGCTATGGAAAGATTTTAAAAAACATTGCACATTTATTTGAGAGAAAGTTCACGTACAGCTTAAATGGATCACAGTGTAATTTTTAATAGCAATACAAATACTTTAAGACAACTGGAAAGGTCAGTGGTTGGTAATAAAAGCATAACAAAACTATGTAAAAGTTAAGGGTATGATTTAAAACAACTGAAAAAGGACATTCAAAGTTACTACTTAAAATTCAGGATAATTTTCTATCCTTAAAAAAGATACCAATGGTCTGAGATAAGCAGAGGGACAAATCTGAGATTTTAAATTTCCTTTCTTTTGTGACTTTAGATGAGATTGTTAATTCGACTTCAGTGTAGAATTTTTTTTATTTAAATACTTTTGTTTTAAGTTTTTATCTTCAGCTGTTAATAGGCTTCAAGCCCTAACTTCCTTGGGCACATGCATATCTTTTGGTTGGCTTGCTTTTGAACATATTGTTTCTTTTATCTACTTTTTCATTTGTTTTATAAATCTTAAATCCTTAACTGACTGGCTGGCAATGAAGACAGTGGTGTAGAACCTATGTTTGTGAGATCAGAATCAGGCTCTATTAACTTGTTAAAGTTCATACAGGAAGTGGCAGTGCTAGGAATAGAACCCAGGTCTCCCTACTCCTAGGCCTGAAACCCATGTTAAAAAAAATAAAAGCAAAAAAACCCTCTGCAACAATGTGAGACAGCACAAGGGAAGGATGTTCTAGATGGGGCATTTGTTTCTCTACTGGCTGTTGCTGTTACACACATTTGAACGCTACCTGACGGAAGTACTGTATATCCAGTACCTTTTGAAAAACACTGTCTCCACTGCCTTCAACAGAGTTACACTGATGTAAAATCCAGTTGAGATCAAAATTAGCATGGTCTGATAGTTGAGGCATGGGGCGAGGGCTCAGAATACCTGGGTTTAATTCCTAGTGTACCCCAGACTTCCTATGTGACTGGACAACTCATTAATAGCCTGATCCAAAGCCCACTGAATCAATGAGCCATTCCATTGACTTCAATGGGCTTTGTACCAGGCCTTTAGTCTCTTGTGCTTCAGTTCCTTGCCTGTACAATGGGAATTAAAATACTCCCCTACCTCATGGAGTGTAGTGAGGATAAGTTCATTAATGTTTGTGAGGCTCTGAGACAATACAGTAGTGGGGCTATATAAGTATCTAGATCATCTCTGTGCCTCAGATTGCTCATTTGTAAAATGGGGATAATACCTCACCCGCACACGGGTGTTGTGAGGCTAAATCAATTAATGTCAGTGAAGTGTGTTGAGCTCTTTGGATGCAAGTTGCAATAGAAGCATAGTGTTATTATTACTTACCTGATCTGGGCAATTGTATTTAAAGTGACCAAGGCAAAAATGTTGGTCCATAGGAGAAAAAACAACCACCTGGTATACCAACATTTTAGGATTTTTGTTTGTTTGTTTGCTTTGCCTCAATCACAGACCAGAATTTTTGCATCCATTTTGGTTCTATCTGTCCCGACCCCAATGAGCCAGCTATGTAAATTAATGGCTCACTAAGTAAAGTGGTGGTTTTAATTCACGGTAGATGTCAAAAAATTTGAATGCTGCTGTCATTTAATTCAGGTGCTTACACATGATAAAATCCTTTAAAACACATGTTATGGATAAAGAAATCATTGCACATATGGCAACACCTATTTAAGAAAATACGATTCTCTCATGTTACAATATCATTTTAGAAAAATATCAACAGTGTCTCTTTGATTTAATCACTTGCAACATTTCATATATAATCAAAGATTAAAAAATAGGAGCATGCCATAAATAAAATAATCAACCTCCTACACTCTCGCTTCGGGTTCCCAACTCTCTGGCATTGTCCTGGAGTCTCCAGGAATTAAAGACTAATCTTTAATTAAAGATTATGTCATGTGATGAAACCTCCAGGAATACATCCAATCAAAATTGGCAACCTTACTCTTGCTGCTGAAAAACACCCAAATGGATTATCCTTGCAAATGCCAAACACTCAGTCCAGCTCCTGGTAGAAAGTAATGGCACCTGGGTGTCTGTAATATCTAGCTGCCTGTGGCATTTTTAATGCACTTATCACTGCAGTATCTACTGTATGTGCTGGGTCAAGTTCACCCCCTGTGCAAAGGCCGACACAAAGTCTATGCATCACTGAAGTCTCCCTTAAATTCTCAGGAAATGCACAAGCCCTCAGGGCTTGAGTGGGTTCATTGGTGCACAGCTCTTGTATTGGCCCTATACACTCCCTTGAATCATTTGTAGCAGGGAAGCCAAGGATGGAATGGGCCTGGACTTTCCCACTGCAGAGAGTCTTCTCCATAACACGGCTAACATACATTGCAGGATGGCATCCACTGTTGCTGCTGCTCATGAATTACCTATTCTGGTGTTTGAATGCAGACAGCAATCTCCTGGGCCACCAATCCAGCACTCAGTTACCTCAAAATTTAGAAAAATTACCCCAAGGAATTCACTGTTGAGCTTTCATGCTAGATTTAAATTCAGAGTCGATTCTTGTGACTGAATTTGATCCTCAGAAAAGTGGCAATATGCACTGGGAAGGCTGACAGAGCCTTAACTATAGCCGTGTGAACAGTACCACTGTCATAAGACAGTTAGAAAGCTATGGCCATGGCTCATTGGGTTATTTTAACCTACTACAAAACTATGTAATTAAAAAAAAGTTATCTTTATAATCACCTTTTTATTGCTGCAATAATGCAGCTAAAGCCTTTTTAGTTCACCACAGGGATTTCTGAATAAAAGCCTTAGAATTATGCCCATGGTGGCAAGAATGGTGTAACAGAAAAAACTGATGCGGATATATAATAAAAAATACATAATGGAAAATTATATCTGAAGAAAGACAGAGTTAAAAAGTGAAAATAACCACACAATGAAAGACACGATCAGCTGCTGTCAGGATGGAGATCGGAACGATACATTACCATGTATACATTTCCAGTTACCTCGTTTGTTCTTCATTAAATCTGCTAACTTTTCCGCTGCCGTTCCAAAGTCATTTGTTTCATACTCTGGTTCCGTTTCAGTGTCACTACTGCTGCTAGCAGAATAAGTGCACACTCGCAGTGCCTTGTCCTGCGCCAGTAATAATAGCACAATGAGAATGACTCGTATACTATGGTAGGATGTTTTATTAGGATATAAAACATTTTGCATTCATCAAAGAAAACCTCGGATTTACTAACTGAACTACGGCAAGTATCATTCAGCATGTAAGCATAA